CCAATTATCAGATTTTCCGTCACCCTCTGCTTCCCATCTTCCAACTTGCAATTCGCACACAAACCTCATTTGAATTCTTAGGGGCGTCTTGTGATACAACACTGTGGGACTGTCCATTGAAGCCAACAAAACATTCTGGTATTTTAAGGATGTCTGTTACAAAAATCAAAATCTTTGATCTCTTGGCAGCCCCTCAGAACAAAACTTTCTTCAGGCCATCATAAACTAGAAGTTCCTCCTAAAATCCAAGGTTCTTTTTGGGGCTTGAAGTATCATCCTTCCTTTTCCTGCATAAAGAGCACTAAGATAGCCAGGCACCTGTAGCTCATGCCCACAATCCTAGCTACTCAGGGGGCAGAGATCAGGAGGATCATGGTTCAAAGCTAGCTCGGGCAATTAGTTCACAAGATCCTATCTCGAAAAACCCAACAAAAAAAGCTGTTGGAGTGGCTCAAGATGTAGACCCTGAGTTCAAACCCCAGTGCTGCAAGAGCACTAGATAAGCTTTTGAAGCCCTGGAGTTTATCAGATGAGAGACTTGGAACAGATCATTTCACTTCCCAGAACATCCATTCCTTATCTGTGAAGACAAGATTGATTGATGGGTGGAGTTCTGGTCTATCTAGTAAGAAAAGAATGGGAGAGCAGCAGTGTTCTGTTCAACCCCTAACAACTAGGTCTGAGGAGACCGTGCCATGATTCGTAGTATTTGTGATTCCATACCATGGCCATACCATGTGAAGTCACTGGAAAGAGAGCTGGGAAGAGATACACAGCACTTCCCCTCCCCATTACTTAGTGTTTCCACTGTATAAACAGAGAGGATGCAGTTTCAACAACCTAGCCAATAGGAAAATGCACTCAAATTATTAGCAAGTGATGTGTTTTGAGATTTTTTAACCTTCGTTTTACCTAAAAACTTGTTTAATTTTAAGTTTATATAATTTCATTTTTAAAGAATGGTTATCTTTAACCAATCAGCTCACAAAATTCCTGAAAATTTAAGTTTTTGTTCTCACAAACAAGAATGAGCCAGCTCCAGAACACTGCCTGTAGGTTGGTTTCTTTTATATGATAGAGAAAAACCCCAAAGAATGCGAATTTAATCTTAAAATCTAAGAATAACCTTGAACCAAGGCGTGCTTGAATGAGAATATATAGGATAAGCTGACGTCATGATCTGTCTCAATATAGAAGCTGCTTAGAATTATAGTTAAAGATCAACATTTTAGGGCCAGGCATGGTGGTGCACATCTATAATCCCAGCTCCTCAGGAGGCAGAGATAGGAGGATCATGTCTAAAGATATGGCAAAAGAGCAAGACTCTATCTGAAAAATAAACTTAAAAAGGGAGTGCGGCTCAAGTGACAGCACTTGGATAGCAAGAGCAAGGCCCTGAGTTCAAAACCTGAATACTGCCAAAAAAAAAAAAAGGGTTCAACTTTTTGAGAAACTGCTATGAAAACCTTCTAAGGAAAGAGAAGTGGTCTGAGATGTTTGTTTTGCCAATGGCTTTGGTCTGAGGGGACTGGTTAATCATCTCACTAGTCAGAATGTGAAAGATTTCTCAAAGGAGGACAAAGTTTAACTATTAGGCAACTGGACTGACACAGGTTTTGTGTGGCAGTTAAAAGAACCAAGGAGCAAGAATTTATCTACCAGATACCTCTAGTCACTGAGATACCAAATAAGGGGTAAGGTGCTTATTTCACAGTGGATGAGTGCCTTGACTCTAGAGCCAGATACCCCACTATCACATCCTAGCTTTGTCATTTCCTAGCTGGGTGACCAGGGTGAGTTGTCTAACCGCTCTGTGTCTCAGAGATGACCTTAGTACCTGCCTTGCTGGATGTGGTACAGACTGAATGAGAGGCAAGGCTTAGATCAAAATGTGATGGAAAATCCCAGCCATAACCTAAGCTCTAAGCCAGGGCCCCAGGCCCACAATATTGAGTGTGCCTAGTGTCTCTAGCTCTGGAATGAGGATAAGGACTGAGAAGGATTTGTACCTGCTCTGAAGCCACACACTTCCAGGACCCCAGTTATGATCTAGTCTTGATGCCAGGAACCAAAGAACTTGAGGGTGTGTAAGCCCCAAAATCATAATACAAATTAATGAAGAAAACTGGGTGTAAGAATATTGGGAGTGCAAGGGAGGTGGCAAATTTGAGAGCATTTGCTCCATTCAAAGGTGCTATAATTCCATTTTTTTTTTCTAAACACTGGCTGCCCAAACAAAATCCATCTGCAGACTACCCATCAACCCTTAAGATGAAAAATGCTCTGAATAAGGCAGTAAAGATGCGCAGGGAAGGTGACAGAAGAAATAGGATTCTAGAAGACAAAGGGGTTTCCAGGCAGGAGGAAGAGTAGGAATGAAATTTTCAGGCAGGAGTGTGCAGAGGATGTTTTGTGGGCAAGAAATACATCCATTCAAGTCAGTGAAATTCAGCACAATTTGACTGAATCCAAGGAATAGTGACTAAGAAGTCAGTATAGCAAGCTCAGTGTGTAGGCCTGGGAACACCAGGCACAGTGGATGGAATCTGACCTGTGGGGGATGGGAGTCATTAAAGGGAGTCATTAAACTTACTGAGCTAGACAGTCACAGTTGTCGAGGTATGCTGAATATTTTAGGAAGGCTGATGTGGCAGTTGTGAGAAATGAGAAAAAAGAGAGCCTAGAAATAAGAAGAGAAGGCTGTTTCCTGCTCATTTGGAGTCAGGCAATGAAGGCCTTATTTAACAGCAGTTGAAAGGGGAGGGGGGAAAATGAATGGAAGCTGATAAAAAGGATTAAAAAGGTCTACTTACAGAAAGTGAAAAATTACCACAATTTTTTGGACTGAGCAGATTGGGGTAGCCACTATCTAGAGCCAGCAGCCAGACTCCAGATCTTAGCTCTGCCATTTAGCTCTGCGACCTTGGAAAGGTTACTTACCCTCTCTGTGCCTCAGTTAACACATCTCTAGTGTCCTCTCATAAGAGTGCTGAGAAAGTTTATGAGTGAAACACATTTAAGGTACATAGCTTAATCTTGGCCGTACATAGATGCTTCTCACTAAACAGTTAACATCATCCAGTTGGGAATGGCATGCACTCCACTCCTTCTTCACTTTCAATAAAATGCTAAGAATAGCCTAAAGCAGTGTATGTTTTATACTAGGTGGCAAGTTCCATTTAGATAGTCTTTTGCTGGATGTTTGCCTGAAAGCATTAAATACTTTTGATACTGCCCAAGACATTCCTACTGAGAGGAGGGGAGGGGGGCGTTGGATCTCTTCCTGCACAGTTGGTCCTTCTCAAGCATTCCACGAAGCTGGTCTGTGCACCACCAGAGAGTGCCTGGCACTGACCCCTGCACTCAGGGGTGGAGAGGGTGCAATGGCCTGGAGTGCAGCCTTGTGAACTCTCTGGGGCCCTTCTGGAAAAGCAGATGTCTCTTTCCTGGTCTTGGGGCTGCTGGGCCTAGAGGAGAAGGCCCCTATGAGCACTAGGGACTATGTGGCCTCTGATTCAGACAGGCCACTTTGTATGGCATTCTCCTCCAGCTGCATGACACCTGGCCTCTCTTGGTCCAGGGCAGTGGAATAAAATGCCCTTTTGTCTACACCGGAAATCCACAGCCTTAGCGAGGTGGTACTATTGCATTTAGGTGAAAGTGTGGGCATTCTCAGGGAAGACCTTGGGCTGAGAACAGCCACTGATGGGAAAGGCTGTTCTTTAGGCCACATAAGGGTCTCTCTACATCATGGGAAGTCTGTTCTGCTCTAAATGATCACTGCCCAGGGATGAATTCTGGGGACTGGTCAGTAGGGCCATCTCAGCCAGCAGGAAGTAAAATGTAGGAATGGCAGGCATGACCCTCTGGTGGCCCCTCCACTCTGAAGGAAACAACACAGATTTGAATGAAACTACTCTGGTCCTCTGAGAGCTTGTGACCATTTCAGTCCCCTCTTTGTCCTTGTCCTTGTCCAAGCCCATTTGCAGACAGCTTCTTCTCTCCTCAGGAGCTCCAACAGCTGAGATGATGAGGGTTGCATAAGACCCACAAGCGGAACTCTTTCTTGTCTCAAGTGTGATTGCTATTTTTAATATTGCTACTTAAGTCAACACCAAAAGCTGTGAGCACAGCCCTAAATCAATGGTGTTTTGAGCTCCCTAGGGCTCCTTCATAAGACAGTCCGAAGTCCCACAGTTATGAGGCATCCTTGGCCTACCATGATGGCTACTGATAATGTTCAGAGGAGACTGGGGAAGCAGGGATGGGGGAAAGATTCAAGGAGGATATGGTCCAGAAGGCGAAACAGGAAAGCAGAAGGAATGAATACCTCCCTGGAGGAGGTTTCCCAGCTCTACCCTTCGCTCCTGCCACACCTTCCCACATATTACCTCACCCCCAATCAGCATATTGCTGCAGAGTCTCCTCAAACAAAGGCACCCAGTGTATTATCTTCACTGATGGACTCACTGGTTATAGAGCTAGATCAGGGAACCCTTGCTGCAACTATGCAAATTGCTATGGTTCTCTTAAGCTTTGAAGAAGTATGAGTAGCCTCCCAGAGAGAGAAGCCACCTTTTGCAGAGGAAACTAGAAATACTGGAGGTTGATCACTTACCCAGTACCCTGGAGCCTGGGGAGTTCTTTAGAATGGCAAAGTGGGCTTACGAGCCCTTTAACAGGGGTAAAGACATGAGTCAGTGGGGTCAAATGGAACCATATAGTGTCTCAAGCTGTCAAGACTCAACAGAGCAGTTATTATTCATGAAAATTTCTTCCTTTACCAATCAATTCAAAGTTTGTTTCAGCAAATTTCCATTTGTAGGACAGAAATCCACAAGTCTTTTCATGGGTATCATTCAAACATTATAATCCATCATAGTCACTAATTGATCTTTTACTTAAAACTAATCCTAGGAAAACAGAAAGTCCTCAGAGAGTATGGATATAGGTGGTGTATGATAGTTGAATTATAAACAGGAAAACGTTTCTTTGGGATGTACTTTTTAATGAGAACACATTGTTATGCTTGGAGTGTGTGGCATTCTTGCTTAATAGAAACATATACAAGAACACATAATACATTTATATCCAAACAACAAATTAAGTAAATATTTTAAGTGAACAGTTTGCACCAGAAATAAAATATATTATACAAAACAGGGGCTGTATCCACAGACATTAATTTTCATTTTCTACACAAAACAATAAATTAAATCACATTATATGCAGATAGTTCTACTTACATTAGAATAATAATGTACGTAGCTTGTGCAGTTCTTACTTTTACTTTTCTACCAGACTCACGGTAGATTTGTATTGTTTGGTAGTCCTATATTTAAATTAACAATGAACAGTATGTTCCAGAAGACAAAGGCTGCAGAGGTGATCCTCCATGGTGTCTATCCCATGTCCTCTTGGTTTCAATTATGCACAGGGAACAAAGCTTATCCCAGGTTGGGTCCTGGGGTAAGGACCCAACTGAAAGGTCTGCAAATTCACAGGATCTTTGTGCTGTTAATGGTGCTTCATTGCTATCTTGTAAGATGTAACACCTGGAAAATTTTCAGATCTTGGCACTGAATAATAAATAAGACACCACATCTCAAATTTTCCCCTTTCTCAGTCTTCTCCACCCAATAATAATTATATGCTATGATAGCTTTATTCTCCTAGCAAATAAAAATAATTGGTAGCCTCTATTAAGATTTATACTTGGTAAGTGGGTCCTTTACTCCTTGTGCATAGAAATTTAGGTCTTTAAACATATGAATCAAAGCAATGCAGCATTTTTGCTAAGTCATAACTCATTCAACTCTCTCCACCAGGAATCATCCCATACCTGGCACATCAAAGGGTAGTTACAACAAATAGATTTTTACTTCTGAGACTTGACTCCCGCTGAAATCCTTTCTTTGTGTTTGAAGTAGCTTAAAAACATGAACATCAGCAATGTCAGCTGGATTTTTAATTTTTTATTTATTTACTTATTTATCTTGTTACTGGGGTTTGAACTCAGGGCCTCACACTTGCTACACAGGCACTCAACCACTTGAGCCACTCTATCAGCACTATCGGTTGGTTTAGAACAATTTGCCTTTGGTATGAATCAGCATTAGTGGTTAATGAGAAATTTGAACAAACTCCAACCCAGCACCTTTTGCAAGTTATTTAAATCCTGCAGTCTAGGTGGGGTATGCCTACAAGAAACATCTGTGAAATCTGCGTGCTAAGAACCAAAGCCAGACCTGGCCTGTTGGAGTCACTACACACCACAGTGTTGAACTGCCCCAAGAGCATCAGGATACTATTAAGTGTTCTGATTAAAAGCCATCTACTGTCCTACCACCAGCACTATTTTGCCTTTTTCTCCTTTGAGGAATTACGGAGGCCTGCTCACAAGTTCCCACTTGCTTGGGCAAAATGCTGACCTATCTTTGAAGCCATGATAGATGGTGGATGGGGTTAGGGGAGGAAAAGGTTGTAAAGACAGTGGAAGCCTACAAAGTTATCCTCTTCCATTTCTTTTGGAGGATCAAGCTCCTGATTCCTCTTCCTAGACATGTCCCAAGCTTCTTGCTGAATTGGCTATTGGAGAAGGACTTGAGTTATTCGCTATCTTTCATTTCTAAAGACCAACTGAAGAAGAAACTGCCCCCATGAATGCCACCAGCTCATTTCTCTGCTTCCATGCTGTCTCTAAAACATCCTGTGTTTTTATACAGTTTCAGTTTCTTTTCCACTGCAGAAGAAATTCAGCTCACTACCTTATGAAGTTATGAACCACAGGGCACAATTAAATCCATAACATGTAGATGGAGGCACCAAATGTCAATTGGCATTTGCCTTTTAAACTGCATCCATGTGGTATCTGAATTCTTTGTGTCCTAAGAAACAAAGGCACTTATTCCTTCCAGTTTACAAACTGAGGCTTTAATACTGATAGCATAATATGCTATTTGGTCTCCTAAGGAAACTTCCACAAATAGAAGGTGTCCAATGGAATCTGCTTGTTAATCCATCACTAACTGTCTGTGAGGTCTACATGGCCTTGATCTTTACCCCCACTGCGTATCCTAGGGCCTCTAAAATCAGTCTCAAATGAAGAAAAGTACTAAGTTAGGAGTAAGGAAGGCACCTATGCCTTGAGTAAATTAATGTCCTAGAAGCCTGTGAATAAGGAGATCTGACTTGGCATTCCAAAGTAAAAGTCTTTGAATTTAAGAGAAAGGAGAAAATGAGGCATTTGTTCTCTTTCCATACATTTCTCCTCTCCCTCTGTTAAATGTGGCTTCTGAAATCTAAAGGACCATTATAAGGCCTATGAAATCATGTCTGTAGTGCAGGAAAAAACAAGCTGATGATTCTTCAGAGAAATGTAATGTTTATAGGGGCTTCCTCATAAAACCTGTGGTCAGGCTGGGAGGAGATACAGACTGTCTACTGAAGGTTTTTATTTCTGAATTCCCCAAAATCTATGACAATAATAATGACTATAAAACCTGTAGCTATTTCCAACACCAAAAAGTAAACACTCATTTTGACCTGCATTAATGTGAGCTTATGTTTGACCAGGTTAGAAAATACCCCTTTTGAAATCTGCACACACTGCATTTTAGGGAAACTTTTATAGAATTCTTTAAGAACTAAATCTCTATTTTACCATATAATATGTGACTACTGGAAGATCATGAATGACTAATTGTCAAAGGTGTTGCTTAGCAATTAGGAATTTAAGTCCCAAAATGTAATCTCAAGAGGTCTTAATCCAGGGTCACCTTAGGCCAGACATCTATACTTGCAGCCAAAGTTTCCCTACTTACTGGAGTTTTCAAAACTTAATGGAGTTTCAGTGACTCATATGAAGATTTCAGGGGAAGAAAAACAGAAAGTAGACAATAGCAATCAATCTTAAGAACACTAGAATTGCTTTAAAATTGAGGGAGAATGATAGCCATCTTCTCATCTTCTGGTGAGAAGTCTCAATTTGTCCTGTCATCTTTAAAAGACTAAATTCCCACTTATCTTTCAGATCTTATCTTGGGATATGATAGTAAATTCAGAATTATTTCACTATTTTATATAGAAATAAATTGTAGTAACAATGTTGGTGCTGATGGGTCACTCCATAAATGCCATGAAGGTTAGAAATGTTTGTACCCAAAGACTGCAATCAGACAGTTTTTTACCCTGTAATAAGCACAGAGGTTTGAAATATAATTTTTCACAAGTGTAAGATAATAGAAAATGAGTGTCCTAAATATATAGAAAACATCATTGAAAAATAAAAATGAGGGAAAAAATAAGTTATCTGGTTCATGTAACTAAGATGAACATCATTCTTCATTGTGTTTTCACTTTAGGGAATCCCCAGTCATCAAACATTTGCTTTCATGAGTTTTATTCTCACACTCTATTCCTACATTAGAATTTCTGGAATGTGCCATCCTTGTCTTCTTTTTCCACCTTTTGTTTTTAATTCAGCACTTTTTCCTATGCATTCAGCGTAGGAATCTAGGTAGTTGTTTCCTCTGTTCACAAGCAATTCGTTTACCACACAGCCTTCATCCCATGCTCTAAACAATAGAGGGGAATATGCCCATGCAGAATTAACCCACTCGTTTTGCCTGAAGTGAGAGAAAAAGCTGCAGGACCCTCCAGGGACACAAGCACAGCACAACATCGAGAGCATGCTGTGTTCAATTGCTTGGCCTCCACAGTTACCTGTGTGAACTGTGATCTCCATCACTCCAAGGAATTGCACAAGCTCCCTGGTTTCCTCTCTAGTCATGGCCTTTTAGATGATTTTAAAAACTGCTGAAAATGCTCAAAATGTTATTGAGGACTTTAGTGACATAATTACAAAATGGTGCACTCATAAGACAGGTTTCCTATCCTCTCCTCTATTTTCTCCACAAGTGATAAGTAAAAGTGGCAACCTGAGTTTAAACCTCTGTGCACAGTACTAGGTGCAGAGTAAATATCCAGTAAATACTTCACCAACCTTGCCCAAACCCACTATTAACATGGGTTTATAAACTCTACTTAATTCTAATGACTTTTTGCTCTTGATCTTGAAATTCATCATTAGGTCAGAATTAGAGTGGATGTAACCCTAAAACAATTTGCACTTAAAACTCCAAAATGGTTTAAAACTCAATGTACTCCCTGTAGAGTTTGTAATCTGAACACATTTCTTGATCTCTATAGTTAAAGCAGCAATTAGTGTTTGGCTACAGTCTCAAGGAAAGGAAGAGAAAGAGAAGCATCTTTCATCATTACTAGTTTGTTGTACACTTCACCCATGCTTTTAAAATAGAAGTGAACTTTAATCTTCAAAATGAAAAAATAGACACATTTTCTAATACCAAAATATAAGGTTAAATACTTAAAATAAAATGTTAGTGTGAAATAGGGCTTTTTTTTACATCAAAAAGAAACATTTTAGAATTGCTTTTCTTATGTATATCCTCCTACCTCACTAATATTTACAACATTCCAAGAAGCTTTTATGAGATCCTGGAAGAGACGGGGAAGATCCTTTCTTGAGATATAAAGTCAGACCTGAATGTAGCCGTTGGACAGAACACTCCTCAACCACTGTCCACCAGCTCCAGAGAGAATAATGCTATATTTCCAACCTTGGGATTTTTCATTACATTTTCCTCTTATTGGGTATTAAATTCTTTCCAAGAATATTCTACTTGTAAAAATGACTTTATTCTAGCTACAAAACATTTTACTTAAGAAAACCACACTTCTCTATCCTTGTGTGAATGTCCAAGATATGAAGACATGGGATTTTAAAAAATCATATGCCCTTCCACACAGTAGAAATATTTAACACAGTGACTTTATATCCTTAAATTTGTTTGTGACGAGATGAAAGCCTGGGAGGCAGATGGTGATTAATAATAGTTCCTGAGCTTCTAAAGAAATTTTAAAATGAAATGCTAACTGCTTAAAAGAATGAATTCTTTAAGAGCTCCCCTTCAGCTCCATTGATGTCTTTCATCCCATCTATCTTCTTGAGGAATCTCAAGCAAAAAAAGGAAAAAAAAAAAAAAAACAAAAGGCTTCTTTTAAGCTACTGAAAAATGGGATCTGATGGAATCTTCCCGTAACTCTCGATGTTTTCCAACATTACTTTCTTCTCGCTGGTTTCTCCTCTCAATGGTTATTCTGTATTTCTTCCTGGATAAAGGAAAAGCAAGTGTAGTAATAAAACCTCACTTGGCTACAAAATACTACAGTTTCTCTTACAAAGAATGCCCTCAAGGGACATCTGGGTTTGATTTGATAAATGAGAAGTGACAGAATATGAAACCCTGGTCAGAGATTAAAGTAGTGTGCCCCAAGGCATTAGGTCCTTATTCAAGGAGGAAAATTGGCATGAGTTCCAAAATGGCATAGAACAAGCCTTGCCCTTTTTCCCTGGGAGCCTCATGGGTTAAGTCTTGTCTATTCTGCCCCAGAAGCTCTGCCTAACTCCCAGGATATGCCCCAGATACAGATCAGATTTAGTCTACTGGGACCAAAGGAACAGCAATACAATTGTCCCAACAAAGGGTCATATACACCCAGAGTTACATTTCCATGCAGAAATGAAGAAACCTTGAGTCTGATGACTTACAAATAAGCCACAAATTCAACCACCAAAGATTACAAAGGAATGGATTGCCCTGGCAGTGGAGAATAATGAGGTCCTGAACACACCTACATGACAGTTGTACAAGCCTGGAGGCTTAGCCACAGTGATAACCAGGCATCTGAGTTCTCCAATTACTCAGCACAAATCAGCCTCAGAACATGAATTGCTGGGTGCTCCTTCCTCTTCCTTAAGAAGGTGGACACAGTCTTCTATTTCTCTACTGGAAATAGGGCAAGGATGGGAAAATTCATTTCACCCCTTATCCAGATTACCTCTCCATTTATTCATTTTGGAGACAGTAGGCATTCTTGGCAGAATATCTGTGTTCAAAGGATTGTAGCAGCTCTCTGGACCACAGGGGGTAGGAAGGTGGAATATAATAGAAACCCATGACTCCACTACCCTCTATGCTAATCCACTGACCACCAAACCTGAAGTCACACCAAAAGCATGGCTTAGATCTGTTAACCACCATGCTTCCTGAATAAAAGAAGGATGTAGACAAATCACAAGGAGCATCATGCAAAGACAAGTAACAAAGGCAGTAAAGGAGAATGCATTTTAACATTATAAATGGTCCCCACCTGAAAAAGTAGAAAGCCATTAGCAAACCAGCACCTAGTAAGGCCCCCACAACAATTCCTGTCACTGCCGATTCTTCTAGGCCACCTGCTTGAAAAAGAAACATGGATCATCAGGGTTTGTTTTGGGAAATAAATGGGAATATCTCAGGTTGCATTCATTGGAAGGTGTCTCAATCTCTCACTTGAAGCAAATTTTCTGTTTTTTTAAGAGAAAAGAGATTGTGGAGTTTTTTGTTGTTTTTTCTTGTATGGTGCAAAGCTTAAGAAAAGCTTTGGAAAAAATACCAGATAAACACTCTGCTACAAGGGAGTGAGCAGAATGGAAATAGAAACAGATTCAAATTGGGATCTGAAGATTTCACATGTGGCCATGTGCTTTTGAGTTTACAGTCAAAGAAGACACCTGTATGGACCATGGCATTTGACCCAACACTTCTTATTTTCACAGATGGATGGTGGCACTTCAAAGTGCTAGAACATTTGGTGGAAAATTCACTGAGTCAATGTTTTTAGGTGTTCTCTCACCAAAGCCATGTCCAAATGTCCTGTGTAGCTTTGTGAAAACATGAATAACAAGTTGAAACAATCATGGCCAGCAGTGAACTGGTTATATAAAAATGATGACTAGCTAGCTTATATATAGTTTAGCATGTGGCCTATGAATTATCTCATTTACTACTCAATACAGAGGATTTAAGAATTGAGTACATTTCTTTCATTTTATACTTGGGAAAACTGAGACTTAAGGAGTTGAAGGAACACCCCTAAGGTCACAAAACCAGCAAATGCCAATAGTGGATTTCAAATCCAGCCCCAATAACTCCAGAGACTATATTCTCAATTACACTTCCTCCTTAGTTTTTTCCCATAACACAAATTGCTCATAGTTTCAAAGGTGATCTAAAAGCATAATGATAATTTGCTATTTTCGCCTGAAAGATAGATACTCACTTTGTTCTTCCTCACCAGCTTATAAAAGGCTCTCTCTAAAACAATTATCTTTAACAATTTTCCTATTCATAAGCTAGTTATAAAAGCATCCACTTCCTTTTCTATTTATGTACATAAATAATATATTTTATATTTGTTTGCCAAGTTGTAAAATTTTCAGGTTTAAAGGACATTATTGCTGGGTATGGTGGTGCATATCAGTAATTCCAGCACTTCAGTGGAGGCAAAAGGATAGAGAATTGCTAGGCTACATAGTGAGTTTGAGGCCATCCTGAGCTGCACAGCAAGAAAAAAAAAAAAAGTGGTAGAGTGTTTACCCACTCTAGGCCCCAGCATTCACAAGTTTGAGTTTGATCCCTAGCACCACACCAGGGTGGGGAAGGGAGAGACCATTATCTGTTCGATTCTGAGGATTTGAAGGATAACTAGAAACTTTGAAAATCAAATAAGACCTGCTACAAGAGATGACAAGTGAGTGACATTTAACAATTGATATCTTGATTTTCTCTAAAAGTGGGAACCTCAAGTAACAAAGAGATTACAGTAAGAAGTGTTCTAGAGAGAAGCTTCTACCATTTTGGAAGAGAGAATAGAAGGAAAGAGAGCCTTTGACAAAGGCAGATGCCAGTTTGTGAACTGTTCCATGTGTTTTAACCATGTCAGAAAAAGAAACGGGAACTTGGAGAACACGAACTTTTGGAAGAACACCTGTGCAGTAAAGTCACATGACCCTGACAAGGGAGATGAGGAGACATACAGCAAATTAAGTCTCTGAACTTACATGATTTGCAAGGAGAGCTGTTGGTGTGCTCCACAAGTCTGGTTTCATCTATTCGCAGTTTCAAAGGGCCCCAAGGATATTTGACATTCGGCCGCATTTCAAAACGACCTTCTTTTCCAAAGTAATCGCCAATGACCTACAGGAAGGCAAAAACCAGATTTACTAAAGGAAAGGCCAAAGGTATCTGTTTCCAAAGGAGGCACAAAGTTCACAGCCTTGTGAGACTATTCCCTTATCTAAATGAGCCATGTAAGGCACTGAGAAAGCCAGACATCCAACCACCCTTCATCAGATCACCTACTCCAGGCAGTGACAGCAAGTGCTTCAGAAGAGTTGGGAGCATGGGGGTGGGGAGGCTCCCCTGTTGTGCACACTGACAGCAGCAGGGTGTCCCTGAGAACTTGGTAAGGCAAGATTCAAAGTCACCGATGTGGTTCTCTAGTTAGGCGTGGTGAGGGAAGAGAACAAAACTCCCCACGTCAGGGAAATGGTCACACAGCCTAAGAAGGTGTGGATGTGGCGAAGGCAATGAGTGCCACCTGGGTCCTGTCCATACTAGAGTTCCAGCCTCATCAGTGTTGTCACTGGCTATCTTCAATGACTACTAGCTAGTGGGAAGGGAAGATTTCTTATTTCTCTGTGAAAACAGTCATGGAGTTCATGGCTTTCCTTTTGCTCATCAGATAGAGCCCTGCCCTGGCCTTCTCCACAGAGCACCCCATATTGTCAGCCAATTCCAGTACCCCAGTCACTCTCAGGGATGTGGAGAGTGGACCAGGGCTGCTGAATACCAGGTCAAGCACATGACAGGCACACAGCATCACACTCCTTAGTTGGTGGGACATATAAAAGCTCTGGAGAACACTTTTATGAACTTCCCATTTGGCCCTCTTCCAGTTAATTGACTGTTTCTTCAGGGGATGTACTGTTTTCTAATGAGTCCATCCGTTTTGCTTCCTCACTCCCCATCTGGGCCATTTCAACTGGCTTCTTAGGCCTAAACAAAAAATTCTTTCATGGTGTAGTTCTAGGGTTGCCCATCAGTTTCTAGTAAAGAGAACTGCTGAATCAGCTACCTAAGTCTGGATCTGGGAGTACCTTCCCACCCAGGTGGTCAGGATTCATTTTTATTTTGTCTGGGCACAAGCACATGGCTCCCAGATGATTTATGACATCCCTCTCTCTCCTGACCAAGGCCCACCAGGCTCTTACAGGTGATGTCTGGTCATAGAATGCTAGGTCTTACCAAAATATGACCATCTGTAACATATACTACTCTCTACACCTTCATACCTCCAACCTCAGGATGGGCTATGATGGGTTATCATTTCCCTCCTTCTTCAGAGTGGAGATGGGACTACAGATGAGACCCAGAGCACAGAAAAAAAAAAAAAAAAGCATTCAGTAAACAGGGTGCTTTGGCCTCTCCCACAAAGGCTAGACATTCCAGCACAGGGAGGAAAAGAGGAAATCCCATATGCCAGGACCCATAAAGGGTGACAAGGGCAATGACCCTGGACTAGAGCCATCAAAAGACAAAGAAGAAGTGGTATTATCTACTGCAATACTTTTCCACAGAAACACTGCGTATTGTCTAACTTGTAATTGAGAGTTTGTATAGTACTTTTCTAGATTTCATTTTATCTGGTCTTCACCATAGTGATGTGAGACCAGCAAGAAAGACATTATCATTTCCATGATAGGGCTGAGGAAACTGAGGCAATAGAGCTCACACCCTTAGTAAGCATGAGAGACTCATCATTGTGTCCAGAAACTTTTTTTGTCTTCATGATGCTATCCTGAAACTATACCATGTTTGGTTTTTTTGTCTTGTTTTGTTTTTTTGAGACAGTCTTGCTGTGTAGCCCAGGCTGACCTAAGTCCTCCTGCCTTCTGAGTACTGGGATTATAAGCATATACCACCATGCCTGGCCTACACTGTCTTTTGAAATGTAACACATGTAGAGTCTGCAATCAACCAAAATTTAAAATCCCAAAACTTAAGGGGGAAATAGTTTCACTTTTTTTCCCTTTCATCTGATGCCCCAATGCATAGGACTGAGATGTGATTCTTGACCATTTGGAAGGTAGGAGTTCCCCACAGAGCAACCACAAAGAGCCATTTCCTGACAGTCTCCTCAACACCCTCAACAACAGTGAGCGAGCTCTTACTACTTGAAAACTCCCAGGTTTTCAAATTCATTTTCCTTTGAAGGTTGCTTTGGACATAGTCCTTGTACACAAGGACAAATGAATTCTCCGAGTCTCCAGTCCCAGGATCCACAGGTGCTGGAGTCTTGTTTACTCACCTCCTGGGTGCCTGCTTCAGTGTCGGTCATGGCAATCACAGAGAAGTCACCATAACGGTCTCCATTGGCATCTATGGACACCTGCCCAGCAATACCTATGGATGCAAGGTGAAGAAATCCAAGTCAGTCACTTAAAATACCTCTGTCTGCCAAGAAAAACAAGAAAAGGAATTGACAGGATTTTTAAAAATAAGCTCATGCCACAGGGAATCACATCAGACCTGGGGCATTTTTGTTGGCGTTTGGAAAGACATTGTAATTTCATCTGTGTCTACATTCCTAAATTCTTAACATTTCTGCACTTAAAAATGAAAAGAAAAAGAAATAAATGATCTTCTTTGGAGTATGTGTTTTTTCAAAGATTAAGGCTACTCCTGCAAGTAGTATACTTAATCCACAGTTTTGAATTAATTTTTTCTGAAAAAAAAAATGGCACAGAGAAGTGGAGGTTCACATTATCACCTAGCAAATACTGTACGAGGAAAATCAGTCCAGGCCCAGGATTCAGGGAGGGTGCTTCATAAAGCTGTTTAATACCCAGAAAAGCAGAGGGCCTGCTTCGTGGGTCACTAGAGCCAAGAGCTACAGAAGAGCTTTTCACCTGTATCCCAGAGGTTTCCATCATTGTTTATCCACATGTTACCTGGAAGATTACTGGCTGCTGAATCGATGCTGTGGCTAAAGTAAAGATGAATTGAACACATTCTCTGCTCAAGAGAGCAGCAGCCTCGACTAGGAATTTCACTTGTTCACAACGGAATCTGACTGCTTGCTCTGATTCCCAACTTTGACATTTCCTGCCTCTGTGACCTTGGGGCAAGGAATTTAGTCCTCTGAGCCTCAGTCTCCACAACTCTTTCTGTTGTTGTTGTTTTGGTTTTGTTTATTTTTTGGCAGCACTGGAATTTGAACTTAGGGCCTCACACTTGCTAGGCTGGCGCTCTACCACTTGAGCCAGACTCCCAACTCTAAGGTCCTCCTTTCTTGGGGGACTTGGGGGCGGCAAGACTGGGGTTTGAACTCAGAACTTTCCATTTACAAAGCAGGTGTTCTATTGCTTGAGCCACTGCTCTAGTCCACAATTCTAAAGCAGGCATAATACATCCTATCAGGAAGCTATAGAAATAATTACATGAGATAAAACAGTAAAGCACTTCTCACATACATTTTAGAGAATTTGATTGTTTTCTTCTATTATTAGAGCTATTCTAGTTATTTTACTATTACTATTACTTCTAAGAGACAGCTATACAAAATAGGACCAGAAGTGCTTTAGACTCCATATTTTTTCATATTTTCAAATATGTACATACACACAATACAACGTGGGATAGGACTCAAGTCTAAACACAAAATTCATTTATGTTTCTTATACATATGGCCTGAAGGCAATTTTATACAATATTTTAAATAATTCTGTGCACGACACAGACTTTTATGGTAAGGAATTTTCCACTTGTGGTATCATTTTGACACTCGAAGAGTTTCAGATTTTGGAGTGTTTCAAGTTTTGGAGTTTTCATGTCTAGAGTTAATGCTCAACCTGTATTTATTTTATAATTACTACTATTCTATTACTATTATTATTTGTGCATTTGAAGTCTGGTAGAGAACACCTGACCATGCTCAACCATTCAGAGGAGGAGTAAGAACATCAAATTGGAGAAACAGGGCACCTCAGTAAAAACAGCAGGGATTCTATAGGCAAATTGGAGGACATCAGTGACTTAGACAAGCAGCAATCAAAAGCATGAGTATCTAGACAGAAAGGCTAGGCTAATTGTATTTACAAAGGAATGGAGGCCAAAAAGAATCAGAGGAACTGAGAGGTGTCTGGGGTGATGGCCCGTGTGTATGAAGGCCCGTGTGTATAAGGCTGGAACAAGGTGGCCAGAGCATGGTGGGGGGGCCTGAGTTCCCCTTGCTTTGGCCAGCAATGGTGACTTAAAGCAGCCCATCAGTAAAGCAACCATGCACATTGGCTGGTATTAAATATGACTATATTTCCATTTTCATTCACTAAGTAAGTGAATGCATGCATTAGCCACCCTCTAACTAAAGAAATTTGATTCCTTTGAGGGAGAGTGCAGTGTAATTCTTAACTGGTGCCTCTTCTGATCTGGTTCTCTCCAGAAGTACCAGCTCCTCCAATAAAATGAGTGTCTGGAGAGAAGCATCCCATCCCAAGGGAAAGTTCCATCCTCTAGTGTGGTTTGGAGAGGGCAGGTATTTGGGTTTACTGTTCTTTGGGCTGTGGTTTGAAGGTCCACTGATTTTTCCAGACTTTGGTCTACTTTGCAGGAAACAGAATGGAGTCACCATTCATCTTGATTTTTTTGTCTTTTTAATATAGAGTGGTTACAAAGGAGACATGTATCTTAAACTTATATACCTGTAAAACTTTTAAGTAAAAATTATATATCTATAAAATCACATGTGTATATATATATATATATATATTTCCTAAACATATTGGCTATTCAAAGTCTCTTGTCATTCTGTTCAGAGGTATTTGTGATGATGTGTCCTGCTAAGTGTTTTTGCAGCGTATTTTTTAAAGTGAGGTGGCCCTAGTAATCCAAGACCTCATTACACCTTTAAGTTATTACATTCTGCCAAGAAATGGGGTGAGAACCCTCACTTGCCAATTAGCAAAGTGAGACTTTACCTGAGAGTATCTGCAGAAGGTGTGCTTTTGTCAAACTGACAGCAGACTTTTCCACCCCGTTCCTATTTGCCTGTAGTGGAGCTAGAGCTTAAGCTTCAGTCCTCTTTACCTGGTTCCTCTGGCCTCTCCCACACAGGAAATTCAGCTTCTTCCCAGGCCATTTATTGAAAGTCTTAAGAGTTGATCACAGGTTTCATGGCAATAAAATCCAAATTTGTCAAATAACATACAGAGTGTTTTTCCCTTGACAACTTAATGATCACTGTAAGTGACCACTAAAATTAAAATTGTTTTTAATTTTAGGAAGTTTAGAGTTTTTCCTCACACAGATACCTTAGAGTTCTTTTGGGGGCTACCCTCAAGTGGATCATGGTTTAGCAAATAAAATGGACACTAACCATTCAAACCCAAAACTTACCTTGGCTTCATTTATCAATTAAACAAATTATTCTAATTTTGGACTGAATTATACAGTTGATTGCTTCTGAACTCATTTCACATTGACTATGTACATTTGGCCCCAGAATGGAAACATCAAGATGGCGTATGGGAAAAATTTAGCCCATGCCTTGTCTCTAAGCAAAAGTACATGCCAGCCATTGTGGGCACCTGCCCTTCCCTTAAGAACCTCCCTCAGGGGTACCCTCCAGCATCCCCAACTCTGGCTCCTATCCCTCTGTCAGAAGACCAAGAACAAATGACCACACCACATAGTGAGTAATAGCGAGAATGGGATGCGGCCAACCAAGGTTGTGTCCCCACACACCAGTTTCTCAGTGTATTGTGCACAACTTCTGGGAAATCTGACTTTGTCCTAACATGCCCCCTGAATTACCCCACTTGGTTCCACATCCCCAAGCTGAAGTAGTCATAGGTGAAGCAGGATTACCCTAGAGGCTTACTCACCCACATCCTACTCTCTGTTTATAGTGAAAAGAGATGGCACTCTGGTTTGGAGTAAGACATGGCATCCATTGAAATGAAATCCACCCATGGCAACCATAGCTACTACAGACAGCCGAGCTGGAGTTCACCTCCCCACTATTGTCCTGCTGTTTCTAGTAACTGGGGACAAGCTGAGGCAGTGCAGTGATGAGAAGAATCTCCTAAAATAAATATGCTCCCAAAATCTAGACTTGGCAGTACTTGTTTTTATCATTGGTGAAAGACTGTCACTAGTGTGATTACAAGTACATGCAGGCATACCCCAATCCATGAAAGGGCTCAAAGGAAGAGTTGACCCAATGCAGAACTGAAAAGACCCTTGTTTGGCGTCAAGCAGCCCAGCCTCCTTACAGAGCAGGTAAAGAAGGAGAAGCTTAAATGACTGAGGTTACTAATTCCTGGCTAGGATGCAAGTGTCCAGTCCTTGTTCCTGCCATCCTCACTCTGTGTGGATGGTCCTCAAAAGACGCTCATTATGAGTATTTTCCACAGAGCAGTCATAAGGCAGGTCATGTTACTCGAAACTCTTGGGTAGCTTTCTGTCTCTCTCAGGTGGAGCCCAATGCCTTAGCAAGACTTCCAGGTCCACAAGATCTGATCCCCATTGCCTCTCCAGCTCCTATCACAGTGCCCCTCGTCCTTGGGGGTCAGCTACACAGACCTCTCTGTTCCTTGCACCAGATGTATTCTGGCTGTCTATATTTGCTGCTCCCTCTGAAGTGTTCATTCCTAAACTTTCCATAACTTCTCCTGCTTCCCTCAGATCTCTGCTCAGCTGCCATTCCCAGAAAGACTTCCCCTCTACCACTTTCTATCTCTCTTCTCTGATTTATTTTATAGCCCCTGAAGTGGTGTGTCTGTGCATTTATTTCCAATTTCACACACACATACTTGCATATAAGCCCAACTGCCCACAGGGAACATCTTTAGTTCATTGCTAAACTCTCAGCTCCTTGAACAGTGCTGGCACCTGGTAGGTTCTCCATGAATATTTGTTGAATGATGTGTGAATAAACAGAAAGTTGGTATCTGCGAGGCTCCAGGAACTAGCTCATTTCTATATTGAGTCTCGTGTTAGTTTTGAGTGTTGGTGAGGTAAAAGGAAACCAGCATTCTTATAACCATTATTGGCAAAAACATAGACTAGCAGACCTTTCTAGAAGATATTTGGTGATATCTAATGCACTTTTAAAAGTGCCAACATACTTTTGGACCCAGAATTCCCACACCTAGGAATGTTCCCTTTGGAAATATTCATGAAATTTATCAAGATGTACAAGAGACAGTGACAGCATACTGCAAAACAGTAAAAAATGTGAAGTGTCCACCAATAAAAGATGGGTTTAAGAAATTCTGTACAACCATAAGGTGGAAGAATAACTACCTCTCATTTTAAGATGTGTTGGCTCTATGAATACTCATACAGAAAATTATTTTACTTGACATACAAGCGAGAAAAATGGAATTCCTAGTGTGACCTTTTTTATGTAAAAAGTTTTAGACAACATACAAAATCCACTTTTAGCCAGCCATAGTGGTGCATGCCCATAATCCCATCATTTGGGGGGCACAGGCAAGAGGGTTGTGAGTTCAAAGTGAGCCTGGGCTACATAGTGAGACCCTGTTTCAAAACCCCAAGTGCCAGGGATGGAGCTCAGATGGTACAGTGCTTGCCTACTATGAGTAAGGCTACACTCCAGTACCACCAAAGCGATGCATATGTCCTGCAGAATGCATAGTATTTTCAGACAAAAATCACAGAGGAAAGTGTTAATAGTGATTACATTAGGGTGGGAAGGAAAGTTTTCGTTTCGTACATTTTTTAACTGTTGAAATTTTTTAGTCTCATTCTTGTATAATTTTTAAATGTCAACAGAGGTTGCCTGAGTGATGAGATTATAGGTCTTTTGTTGTTATTGTTCAAATACTTCTCTGTTCTTAAAGCAACAGCTACATCAATTAAAAATTCAAATGAGGTGAGGATGTGGCTCAAGTATTAGCGTGCTTACCTAGCAAGTGCAAGGCCCTGAGTTCAAACCCCAGGAGCACCAAAAAATAAATAGTGAAAATTCAAATAAAAGCATCTGACCTCAGGCATGGTGGCTGACATCTGTAATCCCAGCACACAGGAGGCTGAGGCAGGAGGATGGTTAGTTCGAGGCCAGCCTGGGCTACATAGTCAGAACCTGTCTCAAAAAACAAAAATAAATAAATAAATAAAATTCAAATAAAGCAAAGGGTCCAACTGTCCTGCTAACTATCTCAAACCACCAGATTTACCCATGACCGTTAATGTCTTCTGTGTTTTCCCCAAACCAACATAGTCTAAAGAAAGAACTGTATGTCTGGGATTAACTCTTCTCTTATAACTGATCACAGTTCTTCTCACAAACCAGTTGTTCTGTTGTGTGTTAAATGTAATTTAAAAAGCACAGAATTTTCATATAAAGAAGCAGAAAACAAGACATTTCAAGATTTCAAGGACTTTTTTTTCAAAGCACAGCCACAAGTAGTATCTCATTTAATTTTTCACAACAAACTAGTGTGTAGGTTGTTCTTGATTTACTGAGAGATGCAAGATACCGAAAGGCCCCTGGGAGCAGCAGGAAGAAGAGAGCCACAGACACAGACACGGCAGCTCAGTGGGTTACAGTGTTGTCGCCATAGCAACTGAATCCCTACCTTCAAATGTCCTGTTCCAAGTTTGCTGGATAATTTTCCCTCCGTCCTTCTTGCTATAACCGGCTCTGAGTACTTCGTGTAAAGCCAGAACATAGAGGAGGATTGCATCATGGAACCCTTCAACAAACATGTTAACCTGCAGGAGAAATCACAGTTGAGTGAGTCCAAGCACCAAAGGACCCACGTTCACCAGTGACATAAGTAAGCAAGATGGTTCAAAGTGAGACTGGAGGACTGTGCACACTGGCAGAAGTACACAGAAGGGCAGCTAACAAGTCAGGTCATGGTTGTCCTGACACTGGCTAAGTGAGGCAAATCCTTCAGTTTGGCAATATAGTGAGCAGAAAAGATATCCCAGAAGGCGAAGAAACCGTACCAGTTAACCAGGTTGATCATTCCTGATGAAATGGCCTTTGTTGATAGTTCTCTCAGCACAGGTGCCCCGCTGCGTCACATCTGCTCTCTACCTCAAGCCAACATGAGTCCAATGTTCCCCTTAAGGTCTCCACTTTTGACAACCCCCACACTTTCTCCATGCTTTGAATATGGAGCACACTAAAAAAATAGTAGGACCCAGGTATGGTGGTTCATACTGTTAATCCCTGCTATGCAGGAGGCTAAGGTAAGCAGACCAGGAGTTTGAAGCCAGCCTGGGCAACAGAGTGAGATCCCATCTCAAACAAACAAACAACAACAAAAAAAAAGTACAAATCCATCCATTCATTCGTAGTCAACTAATGTTGACTGTTTCCTGGCATTCCAGTACTTAAGATGTAAAAAAGAAGAGACATTGTGCTTACTGCCTGCCTGTGATGTGTGTCCTCTTCTGGATTAGCAGTAACACCTCAGTCTCTATTTCTACCCTCTGCCAAGTTCCGCCAACAGGAGTGGAAAACAGGCTTGGTTGTTGGTATATCCCACTTAAGCTTTGCCTCCAGAAACTTACAGTTTCCTAAACATAAACACTGGCTATTGTACTGTAAGAAATCATTTAATTACACTGAGCTGCTTCTTTCATTGAGACTAGAACCTGCTTCAAGAGGCAGGTGCAAGAGTAATATGACATAAGCATATGCCATATGCCATATGATGTGAGCCCAACACACATCAAGTATTCAATGAATATGAGCCAATGCTATGACTGTTTTATGATCTCTAAAGTGTTATAGGCCCTGTGTTCGAGGTCTGTCCAGGATACAGTAAAAGCATAAGAAAAGACTATAATTAGGGTTATGGTCACAGGAAAGACAGACAAGGGAAGGTTGACCATAGTGGCAAAAGTTGAACTGAGTTTTGAAAATGAAGAGATGTCTCATGGGGTGTGAGTGAGGGAAGTGAATGATGTGAGCAAAGGCACTTCCCAACAGGCTGTGTTTTAAGAAATGAGAATGTTCCAGCTGGCCAGGATCAGGAGGACCAGGGTCATACCAAGATACCCGACGAAGAGCTAAGGAGTCAAATATCCACGGATCGGAAGGCCACATTGAGGAACCTGGCTGTTGCCAGCAGCCATTTGATCATGTTGTTTTGCTTTGTTCCACTCATATAGATAATAACTGTCCTTTGGGAAATTCTAATACCACATTCAAACCCATTACAACATTTACTGGACAAGAAATTAGCAAGTACAATCTTAAAACACTGAGTAATTTACAAACAAACTCTACAATGAGCTAAAAAATCTCCAAGCCTTATGATTTCAACAGACAATGTCAATGACAGAATGCCAAGGCAGTAGAATGAATTGGGCATTCCTCAGAGGACCACCAGGAGGCTCTTTTGTGAGGCACTACCCACCCCTCTCTAGAAAAGCTCACAAAGAGAGGTACGAGTCACCTGGTGCATCACCTTGTTCAAGTGCACCCTCACACCCAGTTCCACTTGACCTTGTCCCACCCTTAAGATGGTGAGTCCTATTTGTGTCACAGAAGCAAATATTTCAGATTTGCCATATCCCAAGTTCTGAAAAGCAAGTTAAATTAACATTTAAAGAGCCTGGGCTCCCTGTGCAGCTCTGCCGCTTCCTTACTGTTGTTTGCACCATCCTGGCCCTCATTTTCCCATCCAGAAAATGAGAAGAATAACAATACCTAGGTCATGAGGTTCCTGTTAGGTTTACATGAATTAATAAATATAAAAGGCTTTGAACGGTGACTGACAGAATTACTGTTAGCTTCTGCTGTTGTAATAGTCTAAAGATGGAGAATTATAAACCGAGGGATCTTGCTTGGCTTCTAAGTCTTAATGGCAGTATTCAGAAAGAAAAGGACAGTAAGACATGTCTTATTGACTCATTTTACATTTAATGGAAAATAAGGATCCTCATTCATTTCAGTGACCAAATGAATCTCTTACCTCCATGACACCATGATGTTAATTCTACCCAGTATGACAGGCCCAGCCCAAGCTAGTCATCCTGCTCACCCTTATGGAGGTGGAGTCCAGGACAGATGGCGGTTCATAAAAGAGCCATGAGTTAGCTGGCAGGACCCACAGTCCAGTTGTAGGCCTGACACATGACTTAATCTCTTCAATCTTCAATTTCCCGGTCTGTTAAGTAGGGATTTAGCACCAACTCATCTCATAGGCCTTTTCTGGAGATTAGACAAACCAGTGTGCATAAAACACCTAAGATAGTTCCTGGGACCATGAAAGCAATGGGCAGATGTTGGCTCTTACTCTTAGCTGTCAAATTTAAGTCTCAGAGTCATTATTTTCTTGGGCAAAGAATGATGTAGAAATAACATCTACTAGTCAAAGATAATTTTCTGCTTCTTTGGCTATGCTAATTCAGTTTTCTAAAGGAATATGAAATTTTCACTTAGGCCATGAAGTCATTGTGGCTTGAGGAAGCAGGCATGCTTTTTGAATTTTAATAAGTAGACTTTAGCTGGATAAATTTAATTCAAGCCACAATAATTTTTCAAAAGTCTCTCTTCTCTTTGATGACTATATGGAAACTACCTTGCTACAGAAGTCACAGAATCACAGTTGTAAAATGAGTGCCTTTGAAAAGCTCTATCTTAATCCCCTTCCTTACTCTGAAGACCTAAAGAGCATCACTCTCAGTTTCCTGCATCCTGTACTCAAGTCTTGTATTCTGTAAGCTCCTTGTTCCCAGGCGCCTAGGAAATTCCTGCTTGAATTGTGAAGGAGAGGTTGCTGGGCTTCCCCTGCCTACCTCTCTTCATCCTCCTTCTGCCCCTTGCTCAAAATCCTAGCCCAGGGCTACCACATTGATGTTGGCCACCCAGAGCAACATCCCTGGGCTACCTCCTTTCCCTTTCCCCTTCCTTCCTTCTTGATATGTCCTCTACAATCCAGGATGTGAAGAACGATTATCTTGTCCAGAAGAGTGAACTTGGATTTCTTTTGTCAGGTTTGATGATAAGAGAGGACAGACAGGCTCTGAATGTATACTCAAGTTCAAAAACTCATTCTGTCTTGATTTGCAAATGGATCACAACATTTACCTTCTTTCCTCTCAAAGTGACTAGTGTTTCCCTCTCTTGCCAAAATTAGCAGGAGAGCTGCTGACCCCACCGAGGTTTGCTGGCACCAGAGCCTGCTGCAAAGGAGGTTTCATAACACCTACCTCATTGGCCCTCCAGCCGAAGCAAAACCCCAAGAGACCTCTTTTTTCGAGGAGAACATTCTCACCTCTACATGTGTTTTTAATGGGAGGAAAGCCCGTTAACACATTATAGACAGTGAAAATTGGAAGTGCAAATTAAGGGGGGGAAATGAGGGAGAAAAAAAAGTACTAAGATGTGTTAGGAACACTTTCCACTGAGCCTCCAGGCTGAAAGGAACCAGGTCATTTGATCTATCCTTCTGCCACTGGACAGAACAACACTTGAAACTCAAAGTCCTGGTGGACTTGGATCCTGCTGTTGCTACTGATTGCAGAAAACAGGCTTCTCTCACCTAAGCAACTCATTCTAGTATTTAGCATCTTTTCTAGCCAGAAAGTTCTGCCTCGTCATCACTTGGCATAAGTCTTTTTTATATTAGCATATATTAATTGTACAAAGTAAGGAGATTTGGTTGTGAAATTTCCATCTAGATATTATAATGCTCTAGTCTTAATTAAATTCCTAAACTCAGCCATTCCCCAGCTAGATGCTGACCAAACTGGATTAAGAGAATAATCAGTTTACAATCTCCACCACAAAGTGCCACTACCACTGCTCCATATGAACACAGATGGGCTGTGCAAGTGAAGTCCTGATGTGCTCCACTACATCAAGTCTTGAGGGCCCCTCCTCTCTGATGGCACCTACCAGTCACATTTCCTTACTAGCTTTTTTAAAAATCCTGTATCATAGGGAAAGCTAAATAAATTTCTTATTTTTTATTTTTTAACTGAGCATAAAGTTGACATTCATGACATAGCTCCTATCTGTGACAGTGGACAGCATCTTTCTTGTTTCTCTCTGGGGAGGCAAATTCATGTTTAGATGAATTCCTCAATGCTTATGTTCCAAACAAGTACGCAAGCAGTGTTGTGTGCCTCAGACATTGTGTAAAGTGAGATGCAAGGCAAGGCTGTGCCAGGGTTTTACTTGTGGTATTCACATGAACTCAAGCGTTGTATCTTCCTTACCACAAACCAATGGTTCCCAATGCAAATGAGAGAAGCTAGGGGTGTTGGGCAGAATTTCCCAAGAGTCCTTTAAAAAAGACATGCCTTTTTACCTCCTACTTAGTTGAAGGGCACATGAGGGAAGTGAGTTTCCCCCATGGAAATGGAGCAGATAAGAGAAGAGATGAGTCCATGCCTTGCTCTTCCCTCTTCATGGCTAACAATGGCAGCAGCATCTTGTCCAATCACTAACAAGATCTTGCAAATGAACCTTGCCCGGGCCCGCCTAGACCACTGGAGGTAGCATTCAGCAGATAGTGTGTGAGTAGCCAAAAGGTCAAAGAATATTATGCATTTGGTAAGCACTTTACAAGCAACTTTTAAACTTAAAAAATATATAGGATCTGGTTTTGTTCGATTTCCTTTTAAGTCATAAAATTAACAGTCTAGGGTAACGACAGCAACTGCCTGTACCTAGTGGCATCACAGTCTCTTCAACACCAAACATATGGGGAGGAGGCTGCACTCTTACTGACAGACACCCCAAATTC